AGAAAGAAAGAAAGAAAGAAAGAAAGAAAGAAAGAAAGAAAGAAAGAAAGAAAGAAAGAAAGAAAGAAAGAGAAACGATGGTGTCTATAATCTGAATTTCTTTCATTATTTTAGAAATTTTATTAAGTAAATGTTAAAATATTGGACCTACTGCGACTGGCGTTGTCTTTGCCATACATACCATAACATAGAACAAATAAGCTTCTACTTATCAGACATTGCTAAATTTATACTATTAACATCTCCTGTATATTCATTTGTATTTATAACATAAAACCTCATGATTTACTATTTCTATACAACCGTTTTATCCTCTATACTCCATTGTATTTACATAAATATCATCCAATATCAATTCTACACTTTGTCAATATTTTCTATAATTCCGACTCCTTTCCCTCAGATCCAACCATTGGTACATTTTATTCCAAACGTCACAATATTCTGTCTCACCTTTATTTTTAAGTTCTAACGTCAGTCTGTCCATCTCTGCACAGACCAGTATTTTCTTTATTCTCTCTCTTTCAGAGGGAATATCTCTATTTTTCCAATTTGGGGCATAAACCAATCTTGCAGCTGTAATAATCCCAGTTTCTAACTACCTCCAGATATTTGAATTTGCCCCGGACCCCCTTAAAATAATGTCGCATTTTCTTTTGTTGTTTCAGAGACTTTCAGTGCCATCTTGACATCCACGGACCCAACTCACCTGAACATGGGAGGCATCGCTATGCTCACCCTGAGCGACACTGAGAACAATCTGCATTTTGTCCTGGTTACTAGGGGCTTTCTGGCATCGGCAGACAAAAGTGAGCAGGGAAGCAGCGAGCCATGAATGAAAAAAAAAACGCTCTCATCCAATTAGTTAAGATTAAATCAGTCCAGTCCAGTGGGTTGCTGACAGAGTTTTGCATGGGATGTATATCACAAAGAGATGGTTGAAGATCAAATGTGAATTAAATTATAGAAGAATAGAATAGAATAGAATAGAATAGAATAGAATAGAATAGAATAGAATAGAATAGAATAGAATAACAAAGTTTGAAGGGACCTTGGAGGTCTTCTAGTCCAACCCCTTGCTCAGGTAGGAAACCCTATACCCATGATGGCGAACCTATGGCATGCAGAGCCATTTGTGCCAGCACGCGAGCCCCAGCCAAACTTACCTCACTGTGCATGCGCACGCCTCCCAGCTGATTTTCAGCCTGTTTGAGGCCTTTTTCGGCTTCCCGGAGGCTCGAGGGAAGCCTCTGCAGCCTTTGGAGGCCGAAAAACAGGCCAGTTTCGTCACTTCCTGTATTTCCAGAAAGGGGCCACCGGGGGTGACCGCGCGCATGCACAGAGGGTGGGGGGACTGCATGCATTGCCTTCGTGGCACAGGAGCCCAAAAAGGTTAACCACCACTGCCCTATACCAAAGGTCTTCAAACTTGGCAAGTTTAATTAACTTGTGGACTTTAACTCCCAGAATTCCTGAGCTAACATGACTGGAGGAGGAATTCTGGGAGTTGAAGTCCACAAGTCTTAAAGCTGCCAAGTTTGAAGACCCCTGCGGCCTATACCATTTCAGACAACTGGCTGTCCAGTCTCTTCTTACCTCTTACTTGGAGGCAAGTTGTTCTACTGATGAAGTGTTCTAACCCTGGGATCCTGCCACAGTCTGAAATGTGAGCTGGTTGCCAAGCAACCAGATTGCAATCGTGTGACCATGGACATCCCGCGATGGTCATTAGTGCAAGGACCGGTTGCAACTTTTTTCAGCGCGATCCTAATTTCAAACGGTCCTTAAAGGAATGATTGTAAGTCGAGGACTAACCATGTGACATGAATTGTGTCTCTCCGCTTCCTTGCAGAATCCGATCGGATCCCTCTCAGGGTGCAAATCCTACACCAGGACAATGTTCTCAGGCAGGTTCTGGCTAACGTCACCTTACAGGTAAGCCGATATTTTAAAACCCTGTTTTTTGGGGGAGAGGCTTGGGGAACACTTAATGAAGCTGCTGCTGTTTGCTTGCCTGCTTTGGCTGTCATTCCCCAGGACCCCGATTTTGCAGAGGTGCTGATGGAACTGGGGAGTCAGGAGATGCGCTGGCTGGCTCAAGGACAGCTGAGGATGACTGCAGAGGTGGAAGGTGGAGCCCGTCGCAAGTTAGCTGGGCACATCGCGATCCGGAGAAGCTGTGACAGTGAGTGACCGTGTGGGGGTCCAATGGGACTTTATTCATCCAGGCTCCTTTTTCTCCTCATAGAGTTTCTGAGCTTTTGGCACTGATGTAGCCAGGAAAAAAAAAAGAGAGAGATCAGTTTCGTGAACTTAAAATACTGGCCGTCCATGACTTATTTTAGGAATATAAGTCACCTAACAGCTGTTTGGGTTAGAAATATATAAACCAGGATAAACATTTTAAAACTGTATCTTTAAGAAAATGCAAAACTGTAGTTGGGTGTGGTTTCTCAAACGGCCATAAGATGGAGCCAGAAACATGGGTTGTTTGGTCTTAGTCTCAGAAGAGAGTGTGTCTGAGTGAGTATCTCTGTTTCCTTCTATTGGAAAGTATTGCCGTTCCTCCATTTTTCCTAATTGACTGATATTACTGGATTTGATGTAAGTCTGATACTGAACTGTTTTTGACACTGGAATTTGATATTTGGATTATCCCTGGATGAAAACTGATTTAACTTGTGAATGACTTTGGATTGCTTATTTTGGACTTTGCTTAAACCTTTCTGGAAGTAAAAACCTACATTTACTGTACAGTGTATCTGTATGCTGTACATGTATTATTCAAACACTACTCTCAGATATGTCTCCCTGTATGTGCTCATTCTCCTAATGGGGAATTACCTCAACAACTTACAACCAGGGGTGGGACTCTACTGGTTCAGACCGGTTTGGGTGAACTGGATGTTAAAGTTACATCTGGTTTGCTAAACTGATATTTCAATTGATGGCTGGCCCCACCCACCACACCTCACCCCTCCCAGGAGTCTCCATGTGAACCATTTTCGATGGAAGTAAGTGGAGGGTCTGTGCGGAGGCTCTGGGAGGGGGAAAACCAGGCCTTCTGGCAGTCCAGAAACAGGCCTGTTTCCGGCTTCTGGAGGGCCTCCAGAGCCCAGAGGAGGCCATTTTCGTCCTTCCAAAGGCCCGGGCAAAAAACGGCCTTCCTGGAAAAACCAAAAGTGGCAGAATGGGCCTGTTTCTACTTTCTGGTGGGCATCCAGAGGCTGGGGAGAGGCCTCTGGACCCTTGGGAGGGTGAAAATGGCCTCCCTCGGGCTCTGGAGCCCACCGGAAACCGAAAACTGGAAGTTCCTATAGGCTCCACCCGCCATGGCCACGGCCACCCAGCAACCGGGCAGCGAACTGGTTGCTGGGATTTTTGAATCCCTTCCCTGCTTACAACCATTTATTTAGTAAACGTTTGACGTTAGAACGGCGCTGAAAAAAAACGAGCATTTTTCATACTTACGACCCAGTGGTCACATGATCAAATGTCAACTCATCAATCATTCCTATGCCTGTTTCCAAGTTGACATTATAAGGAGGGAGGGGAAAGGCCTGAGGGAGCAGTGCGGCAGGTGAAGGCCAGAAGCACATTCCACGCTTATCTTGTGGAGATTGTAGCCTAGGCTACTGGATCTTCTGCCTGCAAAAATCTTTCTTTGGAGAACGTGATTGAATGACACCCAGCCCGTGAACGTGTTTCGTTGGAGAAACTGATATATGACAAACTCAGAGGGTTGGGGGGGGGGAATAGGGTCGTAGGTGATAGTAATGATAGTAAATTACGTGTCTCAAGAATTGGCTTCATAGGGGTTAGTGCCGGACACGTTGCTCCTAATAAATCTTTTGAATTCTTTTAAAGCTTGGCTCGAAGCCCATGATTTAATTAGGGCAATTGTCGAGACCCTGACATCCAAATCATAACTATGGCAAAGAAAGTGTCATAATGTGGGGCAAACTTTACTTAACCATGGTCTCACTTCATGTCAGAAATTTTGGGCTCCATTGTGGTCGTAAGTCGGGGACTACCTGTACAGTCACATAACCACGAGAATCCTCCCTCTGTCGGAATTTCAAATCTGGGTTGTAACTACTCTACACATAATTGTAAGATATGTGGACTTCAACTCCCAGAATTCCCCAATCAGCATGCTCCACCTAACGATGTTGTGTCATCCTAAAAACATCACTTCTCTCTCCCTCTCTCTCTCTCTCTCTCTCTCTCGCTTTCTTTCTCTCCCTCTTTCTCTTCCAGCCATACAGAGTGTGCTTTGTGGAGCCAATGCCTTGATACCCACTCACACAGGGGCAGTGGGCTCTGCCAAGGTTGTGCTACATGAAAATGGGACATGGGAATACCAGGTAGGTGCTCTGACCTAGGCTTCCCCCAAAAAGCACTAAGCAGACTTTTTGTCCCCGCAAAACTCCTTTTATTAAATGAAGGTGAATTTCTTGCATTCACCTTCAGCCAAAGGCCTGGCAAACAGTCTTTCAAGGGTCTAATTACAAGCACAGACCTTATCTAGCCTGGAGTGCTGCCAAGTAAATATGTTCAAACGCAGTGCTGACAAGGAAGGACTCAGGCACAGAGTCCCTGAGATGCACAAACAGATCTTCACAATGCTGCAACGAACGGAATTGTTTCCTGCAAAAGCCCCCTCCCCTTTTGCTCCTCTTTTAATCCCTATGGGAGGGGTCATTCACAATTCACCTGTGGCCTTACTCCCACATTGATCCTGAGTTCTTAATTGTTCCTTCCCTTTGGCAGCTCTGTGCATGCGCAGGCTGGGAACCGGCTCCAGCTGCTCCCCTGCCTCACTGCTATCTGACTCTGAAGGCAGCTGATAACTGCCAGCCTTTGCCCCGGCCCCATCTCTGCCTCTGACGCAGAGCCCTCGCCCGAGCCTTTCTCAGCCTCCAGGTCTGGCCCAGGTTCCTCCCCAACCTCTTCACTGTCTGACACTGCTGCCAGCTCCGCTAGCCACTGTCGAGCCGCAACACTAGGAAACAACTTTTGCTGGCATGGCTGATAGCTTGCACTTGAGATCGTAGCAGGAGAGCACAATTTTGGCCTCACAATTGTGTACAGCTCCTAAATACCTTGTTGGAAGTCCCTGATGATGCTATACTGCATGCAGGCAATCCTCCACTTACAGCCATTCACTTGGTGGCTTTGAAGTTATAACGGCACTGAAAAAAAAGGACTTATGGCCGTTTTTCAGTCGTATGACCATTGCAAGCATCCCTATGGTCACATGATCAAAATGTGGACACTTGGTTCATATTTATGGTGGTTGCGGTGTCCCGAGATCATATGATCATCTTTTGTGACCTTGTGACCTCCTGGGACGCTGCATTGGTTGTAAGTGTAAGGAAAGGGTGATAGGTTTATTTACTTATTTAGAAAATTTATATTGCTGCCTATTCGCCCATGGAGACTCAAGGCGTCTTACACGAATATAAAAACAGCATATATAAAAAATAAAACTAATAATAGAAGAAAATAAGCAAATTATCAATTAATTAAATGATATAATGCGTTACTGTTTCCAATGCATTTGTAACTTCGAATAGTCACTAAATAAACCATTGCAAGTTGGAGACTATCTGTACTCCATTAGAATTGGGGACGCTGTCATCGGGACACAGCAGGGAAGAAAGCTGCTGCCAACTTTGGCAAGTTTGTGTTTTGTTGTGAACAGATGGGGAAAAGTATATTAACACGAGAAATATCAAGGTCAATGAAGCAACGGATGGAAACTATCAAGGAGAGAAGCAACCTAGAATTAAGAAGGAATTTCCTGACAGGGAGAACAATCAAGCAGTGGAACAATTTTGCCTCCAGAAGTTGTGAATGCTCCAACAACTGGAAGTTTTTAAGAAGAGATTGGACAACCATTTGTATGAAATGGCTCAGGGTCCCCTGTTTGAGCAGGAGGTTAGACTAGAATAGAAGTATCAAACTCAAGGCCCATGGGCCGCATACGGCCCACAGGCTGCTTAAATCTGGCATATGGGACCTGCCTGGAAATAGCAAAGGACCGGCCCATAGTACCTGTGATGACCCAGGGTGGGATACAAAACAAACACAGTCAGAGAAAACAGATGGAGTCTCTTTTATTCCTTCACTTTGCTTCCAAGCTCTGAATATTCTTGACGGAAGAAAAAAAACTCCCACACAAACAGTTACAAGAAGAAGGAAAAAAGCAACATAAACCATGCAAGATGAGGGCTGGAGGACGTCCACAGATAACACACACTGGGAAGGACGCCAAACTCAGAGAGGAACCATAAACTAGAGATATTTCCATGCTTTGTTTCCAGCGTTCGCCAGTACGCATGTCCGTCCTCTTATTCAGTTGTCACAGCTGCAGCCCATGAAGAGGATCAAGGCCCTCTCCTCCCGAATAGACCACGTCTCTCCCTTATCCTCTCCTCCCAGCATGCCCTAGGATGGAGAGGGGATGGACCTGGGTCCTCGTCTGTCTGCCCTTCCCCAGCCTCTTCCCCAACCTCCAGAGCCACACTTCCACTCCCTGTCGGCTGTTCCTCCTCTCCCTCAGAGTCAGTCTCCACCAGGGGCATGACAGTGCCTCTGGCAGCCATAATGGGGCACGAGGGAGTTGCATGCAGCTCCTCCCCCAAATGCCCCGTTTTCAGCCTGGATAGCCTCCTGCGGCACTCTGCCAGCCAAAATGGAGTGTGGGAGCCCCTGGCAAAGTGCTGCAGGAGGCCATCCAGGCTGAAAACAGGGTACAGGTGGGCACACATGACCCCCCCACACACACACACACCCTGTTTTGACTGGCAGGGTGCTGCAGGAGATGTCCTTCCTGTCTCCCCCCACCTGGCCGGCCCACAGCGGAGAAGTCCAATGCTGATCCGGCCCTCAAAGAAATCCAAAAATCCCTGGACTAAAAGATCTCCGAGGTCCCTTTCCAACTCTCTTATCCTGTGATTGTGTTATTCTCTCGGTTCTTTCTGACATTCTTTTATTCTGTTATTCGGTTTAATGTGGCTTTGAACATTCCTTTGGGACAATCTTCTGTCTAGATCCAGGTAGCCGGAACAGGAAGCGAGGTGATTGGCGTCACCTTGGAAACCAAACCCCGCCGAAGAAATAAACGCAGCATTTTGTATGACATGACCCACAGCTACAGGGATGGCATGGTGAGCGTTGGCTGGCGGAAGGGTGGGTGGTCTTGGGGATTGGAGACAGGCAGCCAGCTTGGTGCAGCAAACGTCAGAAAATGTGTGAAATGCATTGTTCCTCTTTGCCCGCTCTTGGAATTCACACTCGACAAAAACAACAACAATAACAACCCAAGCCGTGTACATTTGATTCTCTCTCGTGCCATCTTTGTTATTTTCAGGCCAGTGGCTCCTGGACACAAGCCAGCGGGCGTGATGCTCACATGCTGCTGCAGAACGAGCTCTTCTTAAATGTCGCCACCAAGGACTTTGAGGATGGAGAATTGCGTGGACAGATAAACTCCATGCTCTACAACGGACACTTGGCCCGTTATCAAGGTACTCGTACGCAAAGTGTGTGAAATTGCTGAGCCAGATAATGTGGGGTGGGGGAGGGCAAACTTGGCAACTTCAATAAGACTTGTGGACTTCAACTCCCAGAATTCCTCAGCCAGATTATACTGAGTAATTCTGGGAGTTGAAGTCCACAACAGGGGTCCCCTCCTGCCATTTGCTGGCCCAGTTCTCTCCCTGACTCAGGCCTCCAAGCCACAAAGATGGGGACCACTGGTCCACAAGACTGGGCAACTTTAAGACTTATGGACTTCAACTCCCAGAATTCCTCAGCCAGCCATACTGACTGAGGAATTCTGGGAGTTGAAGTCCACAAGTCTTATTAAAGTCCACAACAGGAGCCCCCAACCTCTGGGCCGCAGCCCACTACTAGGCCTTGGCCTAGTCAGAATTGGGCTGCACAAGTGACTGGGCTGATCGTGTGAACGTACACATGATGCTCAATTTGCCCATGTGGCAGGCAGGAGGGCAATCACACAGGTGCGTGCCAGCCCACTGCTCATGCAAGTTGAGCTGCGCGCATGAGGCCTGGCTTGACACTTGCGCAAGAGCTGCATGCACACGCATGCCCACACCAGCCCACAGCTCACACGGCACAGTTCTCTTATCCACCCCGGGCCTCCAAGCCGCAAAGATTAATTTAAAGGGCTTCCTTGGTGCTCTCTGAGCTTGCTTGTTTTCTTGCAGACATTTCATGACCCAACTAGGTAACATCATCAGTGCTAGTAAGGGAGTGCCGTTTGCTGTCAGTTTATATTCTGGTGTCTTGCCTGTCTGTGTGGGTGTGGATTTTTTTGGTTGGGTTGTTTACTAAGGGCTCTTTGGGAGTTTCTGGACTGGGGTATTGCTTACTTGATTGTTTATCTGAAGTTAACCTTGGAGTTAATCTATGCTGATCTGGCTTTTGATCACTGGTGGAGGGGCGCTGTAGTATTTTTCTCTTTGGGGCTGGTTGACTGCCTCCTTTGCATAGTCTGTAGATGTTGTTGATATCTATCTGTCTGCTGATGGCTGATCTATTTTATTTTTATTTAGTATTTATTTTATTTGTTTATCAAACATGTACAAGATAACAAGTATGAACATAAACAAGGACAAAGGGAATAAATACAGACGAACGGGGACAGGGACGGCTGGTGCTCTTATGCATGCCCCCTTTAAGGACCTCTTAAGAATGGGGCGAGGTCCACCGTAGACAGTTTGAGGCTGTAACAACATGTAGGACGTTCGCGTAGGACGTTCCAGGCGTTGACCACTCCGTGGCTGAAGTCGTATTTTCTGCAATCGAGTTTGGAGCGGTTCACCTTGAGTTCGTATTAGTTGTTTTGCCTGTGTATTGTTGTGGTTGAAGCTGGAGTAGTCATTGTCAGGCAAGACATTGTAGCAGACAATTTTGTGTATTGTGCTTAAATTGGACCGCAGGTGGCGCAGTTCCAGATTGTCCGAGCCCAAAATTTCAAGCCTGGAGGCCTAGGGAATTCTATTGTAAGTGGAGGAGTGGAGTACTTTTCTCGAGAAATATCTCTCAACCCACTCAATTGTGTCAATGTCCAATATACAGTGCGGGTTGCAGGTAGACGAGCTGTATTCAAGGATTGGTCTGGCAAAGGTTTTGTATGCCCTAGTTAGAAATTCAATGTTACCGGAGAAGAAGCTTCCCAAAATAATATGATAAAATAATTTGTCAGAGCACCAGTCTTCTAGAAATTCCTGGGGGGTTATTTTTTTTTGGACTTGGCCTGGTCTAGGAATGTCACATTTTTCCAATTGAAACTATGGTTGATTCCGTCTGTGTGTTGAGAAAGCCACCAGAACATAAACTTGACAGCAAACAGCACTCCTTACTAGCACTGATGGTGTTACCTAGTTGGGTAATGAAACGTCTGCAAGAAAACAAACATGCTCAGAGAGCACCAAGGACCCTTCATGTCAACCCTGATATTCTCCTTTATGGGTAAAGGGCTTCTGATATGCTGCAGTCAGGCCTGGACAGTATGGCAAGTGGCTAAAGGATTGCGGGAGGTGGAATACAAAGCGTTGGGTGCCTTCCCTTGTTCATAAGACCACAAACCGGCACTCGGGAATAGATCACTTGTTGTGTCTTTTGTCCTGTAGAATTTCCCATACTTCTGGCCGGCCAATTTGTATCCCCTGTGGTGCACACGGGCTCTGCTGGACACGCCTGGGTGTCCTTGGATGGTCACTGCCATCTGCACTATGAAATCGTGGTGGCCGGCCTCGGCAGGGCAGACGATGGCACCGTGAGCGCTCACCTGCATGGTTTTGCCGAACTGGGAGAGATTCACGAGACCAGCCTCCCCGAGCACAGGAGGCTGCTGAGAAGTTTCTATGGCGCGGAGGTAAGTGGTTTAGAGGCCCCCTTTTGGCTGGAAATGTGTTGTCCTGCTGTCTGTCTGTTTATCAGTCTATCCATGTATCCCTCTTTCTCTATCTCTCCATGTCTCTCTTTCTGTGTGCGTCTATCTATCTATATCTATCTATCCATCTATCTATCTATTTCTCTCTCTCCTTGTCTCTCAGTCCCTCCCTCCATCTCTGACAGTCTGCCTGTCTGCTTTCTATTTCTCTATCTCTATGTCTCTCAGTCCCTCCTTCTCTATCTATCCATCCATCCATCCATCCATCCATCCATCCATCCATCCTTTCTATCTATCTATCTATTATCTATCTATCTATCTATCTATCTATCTATCTATCTATCTATCTAT